AACAAGAACAATACAATGATTTATCTGTCAGTAGTTAATTAAGTTACAGATAAATGCAGACAATTCCAAAGGGTTCATTTACTTTTTCTTGTCACTGAATACCATATTTCAATAGCAAGCCTGTACCGTGTCTTACCCTCAGCAATAGCCCCAAGGACCAAGATGCCAGACTCCTTGATGACCCAGTCAGGGTGGAAAAGCAGGCCTTTTAGTAGGGGTAGGAGATGGGGAAGCAGCTCCTCACGAAACACATTGGCAAGAACATCCAGAGCCGCAGCCGAACACTTTCCTGAAGGAGTGAGACCACCATCAGCATTAGAGAGCCTTAACTACAGACATAATGAGAAAAGCTGTGGGTACGAGAGAGAGTAAAAAATATTTTTTAAATAATCTATTAGAAAAAGCGCATGTTATGGTTGGGGGGGGGGGGAACTAAGTCTAAGTCTGAGAAAGTGGAGTAAGAGTATGAACTGCCACACGATCACCAGAGAGCGTTACTAAAGCTGTAGCTTACGTAAGTTCCAGTCAGACAGCGTATCATCATCATCATCCTCGTCTTCATCAATGTCTTCTCCCTCTTCACCCTCCCCTCCTTCATGCTGTAGAGTAACAGTGCGGGACTTATGGAAGCGAGGCTTGATGTCTTGCTCGCTGTCTGGAATCGTCTCATCCTCTTCAACATCACCCTGGAGGACAGAAAAAAAAGGTGAATGTAAACAGCAAAAGACAAGAAGAGAAGGCAGAGTGTTGGTTTAAGAGCTGGGAACATTTGATTTGTCCGGGGCTGGCTAACCTTCAGAAGGATAATATCGATCTCTGAGTATTTCATCCCGTTCACCAAGATAGGGATCAATCTGGAAAAAAAATAAATAAAAAGACACAGGGAACCATATTAAAATCATATTCTCATCAACTTAACCAAGTCTTGTCGCTATGTGAGCACTTACTGGACCAGGTGGCCAGAGAGGGCCTCTTTACAGATGGGCTGTTCGGCCAGAGTTAACCAGAACTCACAGGCCTCCAGAGCCACATTCTCATCTTGGTCCTGGGTGCGCTGGAGCATGTACTGGTGAAAAACAACAACAAGTAATGAGGAGGAGGACGGGAGAGCCAAACTGTCTGTTTAAGGTGGTGTGTTACATCAAACCACACCCTCACCTGAATGATGCTGTGCATGTGTGGGATGAGGCGGTCAATGCGGACTTCCAGCAGCATGACAAGAGCCCTGCACACATTCTTCCGCACTTCACTGTCCTCATCACCGGCCAGTGCAAACAGACTCTGGGCAGGAAAGAGTCAAGGAGATGAATGGGGGGCAGAGAAAAGGAAATGACAGGCAGGGTCAAAAAAGGAAGGCAAAGAGTAGGAAAGGGTTAGCAACTTCAAGACATGCTATTTAATCTGTTATAGTTTGCCACATTTACATGTGATATGTTTTAAAAGAGCCCACAAACCAGGAACATCTTAATTCAAGTTCCAAGTTTCTGAGTGGCAATTGAGCAAATATGACAAAGCCCTAAATGAAGAGCTGTATGAAAGCTCTGGAAAAGCCTTTTAAGAGGACAGTGAGTTAAGATGTTGATTCCAAGGTCAAAAATAAACTTCTACACACCAATTTTGTAAAAAAAAAGGTCCAGGAAGTTGTACACAAAACTGATTCTAGAAAACTAACATTTGCTATATGAGATGTCTGAAACAACAAAAGCTCTACAAAGATGAAATCCTGAAGTGCTCACCTCAATGAAGGTGTCAATGTTGTCCATCAGGGCCTGAGCTCGACCAATGATGAACTGGTTCACACACGCTATAGCATGGGACCTGAGGAAAAGGCAAGTGATTATTTTAGCAGGAAAATCCTAAAGGTGAAGGCTGAGGAGGAAAGATGAATGATTAGTGGAGACAAAGCAACGCAACAAAAGAAAGGTGTTTCACTGACCTGATTTTGGGGCTACAGTGTTTGAAAAACTGGAGAAATTTGGGGATCATGATGTTGAGAGGTCTGTTCAAAGCTTCACTATCCAACAACTCAGATGAATCCTCACAGATCTTCTGGAGTGCTCCAAATGAACCCTGAGACACAGAGAAGAGAAAAATCACACAAGAGTGTTAAAGAGATCAAAGTAGACAAATATAAATCTGATTTACATGTTATTACATTACATAAGCTGTGTGTGTGTGTGTGTGCGCGCGTGTGCGTGCGCAGGGATGTTAGCCTAACCTCACAGGTGTTATAGTCCTCCGAGTTGAGCAGATTACAGAGCTGAGGCAACAGTTCTGGCCAAGTCTGCAGCTCTCCCTTAGAGGCTATGGTTGTGATCAGGATACCTTTATGATGGAGAATTAAAAGGTTAGACACAAATACATTTATCTTTAACACCCAGGAGGGACTGATAAGTTAACTCTCCATTGTATTCAATCATTTAAAATATTGTAAAGATACAGTGATCCCTCCCACACAGCCACAATACCTGCCAAATGTCAACCACCTACATAGCAGCCTGACTCACACTGGCTAGAAAATCCAGCTAACACAAGCGTTTTCTTTCTCCGTTTTCCCTTTCTCACTCCAACACCCACCAATAGTAGCTCTGATAAGTGGCGAAGGGTCTCCGATGTTGTTGAGGCATTCTCGTTTGATGAAATCAGCCACGGTGGGGGGAAAGTTCTGGTAGTGAGCCTTCACATTGTTCTTCAGTATCAGACCGCTCAGAGAGCGAGTGGGCTCGTCTTGAGAAGAAAGGAGGGAGCAAAATTTTACAAATGGGAAGGAGGAGGTTAGTCACAGTAATATTTGCTGAGGACAAGCAAAGTGCTAAACAAATATCAGTCCTTTCTGAATAAATGAAGGCTATTCAGTAAATCCTATTCTACTGTTAGTATTCTTGTTTTTATCAAGCACACACACACCCTCAGATTTGAGGCTTGTGAGGACAAAGATGAGATAGTTGTTGAAATCTGGAAACTGATTAAGTTGCTCCAATTTCTGCAAGTTTGGTTAAGGACCTCAACCATCCATTCACACATCATATATCTTGTATTTCTGGTTCAAATTTGGACAGTGGAGATTTAATAGATTACTACACTCAATCACACTGGCTCAATTAATGCAAGCTGCAACCAGCCAGTTTTCATTGTCATTCACTATAACTCACAAGCTGTTGTGGAGAAAGGAAAATCTCACAACGTATTTTCCCACCCTCACTATCAAAAACACAGAAAGACACACAGATAGAGACAGATGTAAGGATACTTCTTGCACAGCCCTCTGTGTTGCTGTGTCTGGGGACTGGGAGTCCTTGAGTAGCTGAAGCACTTGCTGCAGACCCTGCTCATCTGGCTGCCACTCCATCCTAGAGCACACAAACATTACCTGTTTATAAAACATGTTCTATGCACATCCCTGCTTACATCCAGATTCCCCTGCTTATAACCTCAAAACTCTGTACGCTGCTACTCAAATCACGTATCGTTGGAAGTAATGTAGACGAAGCAGTAACGAAATACACCCGCATGCTGCCGTTACTAATAGCAACACCTTACAGTTGGTTAGCTAAATCCTGATGTAGCACAAAATATATGCAAATGTTGTAAATATTTGATTACAATGTAGCAAAGCACAGCACTAACGAAACAAATACGTTTCGTTTCTGACTGCATGAAACCTGGAAGAAGCACTACAGCCATCCCTTAGTAAGTTACAGCTGAACGAAAGTAGCCAGACCGACTATAAATCGCGACTTGACCAGCCTTTTCCACAGGAGGCCCGGACGGCACAGACGTAGTCTGGCGCTTTCAGCTAGCGAGCTATCTTAGCGTCGCTATGATACTTAGCACCTAACAGATTCACACTGAAGAAGCCTGCAAAACGCTACCTTACATAACTATCAGGACGCCACGTCCTGCTGTCAGAAATGTGTTTGTAGTCAAAGCAACAACGACGGTATTAATATCCACAACAGAGCAGTCGCATATTAAAACCCGGCAGCTACAAGTAGCATGACCAGCTAGCATCATCTTGAAAGTACCGCGAAAGGATTTACCTGGTCACTCCGATGCGGTAAATCTATATTTCTATAGACAATAGTGTAGTTACGCTCTAAAATCTAACATTAAGTAAAATATGACTGAAATCTGTGTGGCTAAATACAAACTGTTCTCAGTAGATATGTGTGGCTGGTATGCTAGCTGGTATGTGATAGAGATTGCATGCCGTGCAATCAAGCCGGGTGATCAGTTTGATCAAGTTCGGCTTCCGTACTGACCGGCTGTTGGACAGGGGGAGAACTCAGCAACTGTTAATTACCTTACATTTACTGTTTATATGTAATGCGTGTCGGTGAATATTCTGTAATTTCACATAGGCTACTTCTAATTCGGTGAATTAACATATGTGAATTGTTTTGTATTATATTTTATGGTGTTGACTTCAGATTCCTATAGCATCTAACTACTGAATAATATATCTAAACTGATTGAGGACATAGACGCAATAACATAAACACCACTGCAAACTAATAGCATAGCAGCAAATATTAATATTGATATGTTATATCACTATGTTATGTTAACCTCAGGTGACACTGTCTCAACATGCCTGTGATAGTTCAACTTTGGGTGGTAGTGGAGCAAAATACCGTGAAGTACACAAAACTCCAACATTATAAGATAGCCTCACACTGGATTTCAGTGCTGCTCTGTTCATATATAGTTTGCGCCCATAGAAACCAGAAGCCACTCAGTATTAGGACACTCTGTGTAGCCTAATGATAGTCACCACTGTTTCCTTTATTTCAAAACAACTGTCAAGAAAGACTATGATTGTGAAACAAGGTTTTGCAAAAGTGAAAGTGCTCTAACAGCATGAAACATTTAACTGTATATTTTATAGGGGAACAAAGACTTTCATAACAACTACAGAACTACAGAAAGTTTTATTAAACACATGTATCAATCAGTGATAATCACAGTAAACACATTGTGAATACACATTCCTGTATCAATAGTCAATACATGGATGGTGTGTTGGATGGGATGGATAATTAGAAAAATTCTGTAAGTGTGAAGAAATTGAGGAACCACATTGGAAAAGAGTAGATCCTTGGTGTATTAGTGACAAGAAAAGATAAGAAAGTAGATTCAGCACAGAGAGCTGATTTCACTCTTGCTACAGCCCCACTTGCAGCAGGCATTGGACAGTCCGACCACTACATCCCGTTCTTTCCTATCTGCACTTTGCAGCACCTCCTCTGAGATTGGCGAGCGAGCTGAGCAGCTGAATTCAGCAGCCATAGACGTCACATCTAATGTTTGGTCTTCCAGCTTTGCAGGATCCTGTTCGCTGCCAAGTTGAGGGATGGGATTTGTGTTCCATGGGTCAAAGGCCTCCTCTCCAATAACAGCTGATAAGAAGGAAGGGTAAAATTCTTAATATTGCATTTTAGCTTTAGGTAACCGGGCACATCCTCCACACACAATCTTACCTGAGTCCCCTATGTTTCTCCTCCAGCGAGAACCACCACAGGTAAAGATGACAGCTCGTATGAATTCTCTTCCACAAAGTTTTACCCCATAGAAAGAGGGATGGTCATCACTGGAGTGCACCCTGTCTATGAGTGCCACCAGCAAGCCCAAGGTCAAGAGTGCTGCCTTTGACATGGTAAGAATTAAAAGATGGCAAAGGTGTGTCAGAGGCTGGAAATTGCTTGTGTCTGTGGTGTGTGTTTTTTCCTGGACAGGTCCCTACCTTATATAGGCTACAGCATCTCAGAGAGGGACTTCAACTCATCTCCACTTTTCGTCACACCTAGAGATAAGACCAGAGACCTTTAGGGGCAACAATGCAGACAGAGAAAAAGAAAAGTTATGATTAAATTGCAGATGATGCCAGACGTGATGTTAGCAGAGCTCCTGGCTATCTAATCATCTGTGACCTTTTATTGGCCTTTCTGTCTCTTAAATAATTTTGGGCAGAGCTATGTGTGGCCAGCGCAGTCTGGGTCTCAGAGCACTATCTGCTCTGCTGGGCACTGGATGGAGATCATTATCCATTCACACCAAAGATGGAGATCATTATCCATTCACACCAAGGACAACAAGGGTGCTGTACATAGTTGTTCTCCACAAGAAACACACATATCCCCACACCCACACACATTCATACATACATACTATATATAGATTTCTGAGGACACCTGGTGATACTGCAGTGACACAAATCAGATGTAAAACTCAATATTGGGCAATTTTAATTATTTACTGTATATGAGTGTATGGAGGTGGCTGGAGATAATCGGTGGTATAACATTTTCCAAGTAATATTACATCGTTGTCCACCTATCAGCCTGACGTTCTTTGTAATGTAAAGAAGTATCATTAAAAGTGGGAATGTTGACGTTAGGCTCTGGCAGAAGTGACAGACAGGGACTGTCTACCAATCAACGATCGGTTGCTTTCCTAACGCTACGACCACCTCCCAGGTCAGCGAATCAGGATTTAGTGTAGGGCGGAGCGATGACAAGAGGGTAGCAACAGTTGCCCCGGTGAAGGCAAGGCGCCATAGTCACGGTAGTCCTGGCGACAAGAACCAAGCAACGGGAGTCAACAATAACAACCAAAATCTAAGGGAAAAAAACTTTTAACGACTAAAACGGACAGTACTGGGATAAACTAGAGGTGAAAAAGTAAAATATCTCAGAACCATTGTTTGATTTCCTCTAAATTATATGCGTGTTCTTGTTTGTACAGTCGTCAGCCTTAACCTGAAAGTGGTCTAGCGTGTTGGTGATGAAAGTGGTTGCTAGCTTCTTTCCAAATGCAGACCGTTGTTATGGCGATGTCAGATTTTTGATAAGAGCTCAAGATGGCGGGTGTGTTGTAGTGCTAACCGTACTTTTTAGCTAATTTGTCAGACCGTTCCAACTGTTTCTTGCAGTTTTGAATACTACGAAATTAGAATTAATTGTGGTTAATGGTGTGGTCGTAGATTTATTGACTATCAATCATGAGTAGCTACCGTAGCAACTAGCTAGTGCTCCTCAACGTCACAACGTGAGCTGCTAGCTGGCGAAGCTATCACTCTCGCTTTCTCACTTTTCAAGCAAGCGATCCAGAAACATTAGATACAGAAAACCTCATAAAACTGCTTTCGCAACCGAGTCAGTTTAGATATAAACGCGGAGCCATATGTGTAGTATGTAGTTTCATAATGTTTGTGTGACTTTGAAAAAGTTTTTGGTCTGACATTGTATTTGACAAGTCACACCCGTGAACATGGTGTGCTTGATGATTGTCTTGTTTGCTGCTGGTTTCGCAGGAGTGGCTTTCTCTAGTGGGAAGGCTATAGCACTTTGCATGGTTAACCTGTGGTTTAACCCATTTCCCCCCAGATTTAATGGAAATTAACTGAAATTGAATCCATTGCTTCACTTATGGTGCTTAAGATCAAACCAAACAGGAAAGGCTCTCAGCTACTGCTTAGTCTCAGACAAAAGCCTTACTTCCTCCTCTGGATTATGTTTCAAACACACACACACACACACACACACGTTTTATTCAGCCAGAATGTAGAGAGATGAAATAATAATACAAAGGTTGTTTTTATGTACATTTGTAGCACTTTCATTAATGAGAGTTGTCTTTTTTTTATCCACAGCACTAGTGCCTGAAAGTATTGGTTGCCATGGCAACTTCTAGATACTCGGGAGACCTTCAGCCTCAGCAGACCAACACTGTAACTATAGCAACATCTGCTGCCACCACACCCTCATCCGCAAAGACAGCACGCTTCCTGTCTGAGATTCCACCAACTTCTGGAACCATTACTACAGCTAACAAATCAGCCACTGCATCCAAAACAGGACAGGATGCACTTTGCTCTCAAGCACCTCCCACCCAGGCCCAGAGCCAGAAGGCAGTGGTTCTGACCACTCCCACGCAGCACTATGTAACCCCTGAAATCCAGCACTCTGTGGCCCAGAAGAGTAATGGTCAGAGAAGCTCGCCACAGTATATCATAGTAACTGTTACAGGTGAGAAACTTACGAAGGACTGACAGATACCTGCATAATGCATACTTTTCACACACACATAACAGATACTTTCTAGCTCACATAAGCAGCTGGAGGGCAAAATGTGGCATGTAGTCTGAGCAAGCTTCCTGTAAGTCTGCTTTTTCCTGAATTTTACATTAATCAACTGATAAATGTCCCTTATCTTTATTCCAAGTCAAGCTTTCACTTGCTCATCAAAATGTTTAACTATAAAGCCCCAGTTTGCACCAAAACATGATATCCACAGACATTTGAGGAATTATTTAAGTGCTTACCTGAAACAAACTTCTTATAATGTTATTTATGATGATGACAACGTTTAGTTCAGGGTAAATTTTCTGCCCTGTGTATTTGCATGGCATCTTTAAAATAGTCTCTGCTTAGATGGCTTGAATGAAGACCAGCAGAGAGTTAAATCCAACCAGGGTTGAACCACTAATGTAGTTTGCCTGTCTGGTTGGGTGGTGCATATATTATGAGGACAAAATAAGCTGATGGACTTGGTTGCTAGGCTGAGTAGTCTCCACCATGGGAGCGTGGATGGCTGATGAATGGAGCCTGACTTTTTCTTTACTCTGCTGCTTTTGATGTTCTAGAAAGATGGTGGTATAATTATGTTATATTATTTTTTATATTATATTAGTTTACAGTTCCTTTGGTGGTATTAAAATTAGATAAGCCAGTGTTTATGGCAGCTAATGTAATGTGTGTGTGGAAGGCTTTGGACCTTTTTGAGATATTAGTTTAAATTAAATTATGCCACTGCACAAAAGTATCCTGAAGTAAAAGAAAAGTGATGCCCAGTCATAAGGATGGATGTTGGTATTTTAAAGTGTGGTGTTAACTAGTAGAGAGAGAATCAACCCTAATATTAATGTTATCTGTATGTTTATTTTAGGGCTGTCTATTCGTAGATCTTTATGCCTGCTAGTGTCAAATAACACTGTGCACTCTCACCCACAGGCTTGTCTTGTTCTCATGGAGCAGGACTGCTACGTTAGCTGAGGAACTACTTATTAACAATTCCCTTATATCTGAAATTTGCATTGCAGTGGAAAAAGCTGGGTTTTAGTCAGCACAGTTATGCAGCTAACCCATTCCTGTGCCTCTGTTTAATGTATTTGCATTTTTGAGAGCAGGCTAGAATAATGTATGTTAAAATTTCTATTGAATTTGCAATACAGTATATTGTGTTGCATAATACACAAGGTTTAGATACTTTTAACACTAATAGACCGATTTTTTTGAAGAGCCCAAAATAGAATAGAAGGTATAATGTAACATTTAAAAAGGGCAAAAAGGTTTTTCTGCTTAGCCTAGAGTTTATCCAAGTTATTTGTGCAGCAGGTTAGTTGGGCTTTACCTGTTAAACTAGCAGACATGATAGTTTTCTAATTGAAATTTACCATATCAATAATTATTTTCATTTTCAGTTACTATAATTTTTTTAATGTTCGCCCAATACATGTTGGTATAAAACAGACAAAAAATACATGGCCAGCATTTACCAGAGTCTATAGTGACATCTTAAAACTGATTTTTTTTTTTCCCTGACCAAAAGTGAAAACCCCAAAATTAGTTAATTACTGCGGGCCTGTGGTCACTGGGGACACAGTGTGGTTTGCTCTGTTGCCTCACAGCAAAAAAGGTTCTGTATTCAAATTTAATGGCCACTCCAGTGCCTTTGCGTGTGGAGTTTGCATGTTCTCCCTGCGCCTGTGCGAGTCCAGGTATCCCAGCTTTCTCCCACCGTCCAAAGACATGCAGGTTATACCTCATAAGTGTGAGTGGGTGTCTGTGTCTCTATGTGTCAGCCCTGTGATAGACTGGCGACCTGTCCAGGGTGTACCCCGCCTCTTGCACAGTGTCAGCTGGGATTGGCTCCAGCCTCCTGCGACCCTCCAAACGATAACTGATATAGATAATGGAAAATCAAATTAACAGTCACTGTAGTAAAAGATACCCTTGTTATCCACATAAAATAAAGCTATATACAGTTGAAGTCAGAGGTTTGCATACAGTTAGGTTGTCATGTTAATAAACTCTTGATTTGGCAAGTCGGTTAGGACATGTACTTTATGCATGACACATGCATTTTTCCAACAGTAATAAAACATAATAAAGGGTTAGGTTAAGTATATGAAGTCTACGAAGCAAATATTTCTAATGTTGCTGCTTGTTCAAATTGAGCTCTTCACCATGCCTTGTGTCCTGGAGCACTTCTGGTAGAGTATACTAGTTTGTGTGCTTCTGGTAAATTTGTCTCATATTGTGTGTTTCTGTATTTATTTCTTGAATATGTTTGTCCATAGGGGCCACCGCAGATAACAGTGGATCAGACAAATAATATATGATTGAAATGCAATAGGCATTTTCAGTCAGTTGACTGATTCATTAATTAAATATGTCTGTATGTCCATGGTATGTCCAGAAGTGCTAAGTCAAAGGCCTCTGGTCATGTTCTATAAGATATTTTGTTTGTCACTCAAAAGGCTGCTTCAATTCTGATGAATCAACTAATATTTTCAGCACTGTCTACATTTCTGTATGATTAATATGCCAAAACAACCTTTATTTCTCGTCAGCCAGATCATGATTACCTGTTATGTGTGCATGTTCCAGAGTTTTGTGTTCTGGTGAGTTGCACCTACACTTGTCAATAGCAGTTATACTTTACGGTTTCAAACTAGTGAAAGGAAACAAAGTTATAAACTACAATGGCTTACATGTAGCAGTTTCACTAGAATTATTATGTTCGATCAATAACCTTGTTAGGCTTTTCCAATCTTAAACCTGAAATTTAGTGGCATCGAGGTATAAAAGTAGCCACCAGTAACTAGATCTAACTGGTTGAATCTGCAGACAGCAGCCAGCTTGTGCGGAAACATCATGTTACTTTAAGTTCCTCCCATCTAATAAAAGAGTTATTACTTAAAGTTGTTAATTTGCCAAACTGGCAGGTGGAAGTAAGGAAGAAACATTCAGTCAAAATGAACATGCATTTGAGGAGAGACAGAATCAGAGTTGTGCTGGCGCCTGCGTAACTACAGGTGTGTTTACAGCAGTAGACCTTGGTCGAAGTCGGAGCAGGACCATGCAAATCAGTTAAAGTAAGATGTTTTCTCACCTGAAGGGTATATATATATATATATAAGTGAATATTACACTCTCCTCTGCCCACTCTCCATCCTCTGTTTTCTCCCTCTTTCCTTCATCCCTCATGTATCTCTCATTTCCCTCTCTCATCTGATCTGCTTGTTTACAAGATGGAGGGATTTCTCTCTCCATCTGGGGAGATTAGCTGTCCAAGGCTGTCCTTCTGCATACGAGATATAAGGATGAACACAGAGTTGAGACAGACACACTCTTCCTCCTCTTTACTGTCAGTCTTTCTTCAGTTAAGTTAAAAAAAACAACAACTTAGTTGCAGGATGTTCTGCGGTGGCTGTTATTACGATTTGGAAGCAGTATGTCGTGAGTACTGAACTTGTGCTGATGGTGATTGGCTTTTTCTTTTGAGTTTTACTTGATGATCTGATGGAACTTCTCTTCCTCACCATCCATGTGCCATCCCTAGATGGTTCTGTTCACTCCAGTGACAGTCTGTCAGACTCCAGCCCACCTGCCCACGGTGTTCCAACTCAGGTGGTCCAGCCAGTCCAGACCACCCCACAGGTGAGACTTGAACACATATGCAGACCCACGAATCTGTCATTGTCACCATGTAGGAGCTGGCTACAACAAAGGGTCGAGCGCTGATCAAAATTTTATCCGACACTGTGGCTTTACTCATCAGCAGAGGTCAGTGTTGCAAGCGGTGTCGCAGGCAGCCAAGAGGATTCAGGCAGGCCACACCAACAGTCTACAGTCTGTGCACATTAACCGTGAGGTAAACAGACATACACAAGGCATTTAATCTTACAGTGTAAGAGAATAATAATAAATACATTCAATTCAAGTGTGGAGGCAATGTCATATGTTCATTGCTAATGGTAGTAGAAGGATGCTGGAGAGAAAGCCCTTTGTGCCTTAAAAAGTAAAATACTGTCCCTCCAGCTTTGCATGTCTCTCCACATCTGTCAACCCTCTTCATTTTTCATTCTCATGCTCATCCCTGCCACCCCATGACTGTTTGGAATATACCTGAACACTATGTTGTTATGTGATTGGTCATACCACACCACTTAAATTCATCTTTAATGGCAGATTACAACCCTGCCAATTTCACCTAATTGTCTTCCTCAGTACCTATCCCTAAATGAACATGCCTGCTAAGAGGTTTAGTCAGTAACTTGGCTTCGATGTGTGTATAACAACTGTGAATAATGGTGAACTGTTTTGGAACTTGTACCTCCTCAGCCCTTCCTCTGAACAAAAACCCTCTTATGTACTGCACAGCACACCTTCTTTCACTGCTGTTACAGGCTAGGTGTTAGTCTGCTAAAGTTTAAAAAGCTGTAAGTTATGATTTTATATTAACAAACTACATATAATTTTAAAGGGGCTACTTCTAATGAATCCTTCAAGAATTATCATCCAACTCTGCTGTTTGCCTTACTTCTTCTTCTTTCAGCTCATTGTTTTGGCTGTACGTTCCCCAGCTTTAACGTTTTGGTGCACTTTCACTGCTCTGGTCCACATAGTTTATGACAGCAGCAGGAACAGGCTCAAAATAGAACTAATAGGAGGATTACTGAGCTTATATTTATCCCTTGAACAGGAGTAGGGTTCTGAATGAATGCTAATGTTGCTCTATATCTGCTGAATGTGTGAATAGACAGCTGTGTGCTAACAGGTTCACTATAACAACATAACATTATAATATAAGTATTGTGTTTCTTCTTGAACACTACTTTAAGTCTTCACGTTGCATGTTGTTCAGGTGGAGCACGTGTACTCTGGCCAGGTGCAGTATGTAGATGGAGCAGGAGATGCAACGTTCACCACATCCACCATGTGAGTAGGGAGGAAACTGCTGTCACACATCTTGCAACTTTCCTGGTCACACAGCTGTGCCTGTTCTGTATTTACATGTTTCGCTGTGTGTTTGTGCGTGCCTTTGTATATCTTTTTTTGTTGTTGTCCAGTCGATCGAACAGCTACCCTTTCTCCGACTCGCCCCTCTATTCCCAGACTCCTCCCACCTCCTCCTCCACCTACTACGAGGCCACACCCAGCTCTGACTCAGACATCACCAGCTCTGTGACCTCGCAGCCGGTTTCTGTGGCAACAGGAGGAGCCAGCAGTGGGACAGCTGCGGCGGGTGGAGCAGGCTATGTCATTCAGGGAGGTTATGCATTAGGAGGAGGAGGAGCAGCAGCAGCAGCAGCAACAGGTGGAGGAGGTGGAGGAGGAGGAGGAGGACAAAGTTACACTAGCCCTAACTCTCGTGCTCCACCTGCTACTGTGAGTACTCAGAAATGTTTTCATGTTATAATTTATGACAAGAAGTTTCATAAAATTGAATTCTGCGATCATCCACCATCCCTAGGTACAGTGGCTCTGTGATAATTACGAAGGGGCAGAGGGGGTGAGTTTACCTCGCTGCACCCTCTACTACCACTACCTGCTGCACTGCCAGGAGCAGAAACTAGAACCTGTTAATGCTGCATCTTTTGGCAAACTCATCAGGTCTGTTTTCATGGGGCTACGTACACGGAGATTAGGCACGAGGTATATACACCCAAAACACACACACACACCTTGATTTTGCTGCTCCAGTGACTCAGGTCATTTTCAACTTTTTTCTGTGTGTTTCAGAGGGAACTCTAAATACCACTACTATGGCCTGAGGATCAAATCTGGTTCCCCTCTACTCAGATTGATGGATGAACAGCAGCACATGGCGATGAGGCAGCAGCCATTCTCACAGAAAAACAGGTATCCATACATGGACCTCTACTAATATGAAATGTGTCATTTTAGCATTATTTTTGAGAACCTGTAAATATAGTATGAAATGACTGTATAGCATCACCTGCTTTTATTTCTTTTAAGCTGTGCCTGAGTTACAGTATGTTCTCTCTGAATTTTGGTTGCATTAACACATGCGTCTTAAGCTGCCCACAAGTGATTAGATCACCTATACATATTATATTGCTAAAAATGAACAGGGCCTAAGTGTATCTTTGCACTAAATGATCCATTCAAACAGCAATATATAAGAGTTGTTTTGCTTATGATTTTCTTGGGGCTGTTTTTTCCAGTGCACCAGTTACAGCATAACATGCATTTTCCCTCTTTGTCTCCCTGAATGATGGGCCCTCTGTCCAACAGGATAAAGCCAGTTCAGAAGACACAGGGGATCGCCAATGGAACACTGGGCGGTGCAGGTCAACAGGCGGCAGCACTCTGTGATATTTCAGCGCAGGTGCAACAGTATCAGCAGTTTCTGGGTGAGGAACACCAGCACCCTACATAGTTATCACCATTGTTTCTTAGCAGTACACAGTCTCTTATTGCAAGATTTTTTTAAAGGACCCGTTTTCATATAATCCAGGCTTTCATTTCCGATTGCACTGTTGGTTATTATGCTGTAATGAGCTGTGGTAACTAGGGTTGTAGCGGTATCCGTGTTTCACAGTATACCATGTTATTAAAACTGATGGTTAAACATACCATGCACATCCTTAATACCAGTATTGATGAAAAAATGCAACGCGTGTGCACCTTTCTTCCCCGACTGCCCGTCAGACTCTGCAATGGGTGCCTCAAACACACATGCAGCAGACAAATGGCAGAGAGAAGGAGGCTGATATCACCAAACTCCATCCACCAAAAAAGAAATTAAAATCAGCAGTGCAGGATTACTTTGGATATGTCAAAAAAAACAAACACCTTTGAAAACACCATCCCTTCATGCAGATCAAAGTATGTGTCCCGTTTATTACTTTAATCCCAAACAATACAACATGTGAGCATATAAATGTCATAAAATGCACTATCAAAATTATTTTCCACATTGTCTGTTCATTTGCTAACCTCAGATTTACAAATGGACTCACACTGATCTGATGTGACCCCAGAAACACACAAACTTTCTCGGGCAACACCGGCTCTGGGCACTGACAGAAGTCACTGTGTGTGAGTGACGGTACAGAGGAGCAGTCTGGCAGCGCTGTTGTGCACCTACAGTAAATTAGCAACTATTTTGATAATCCTATAGAGCATCTTGACAGCATTTCTCATTGTTGTCAGACATTTTGCAAACCAGCCAATCGATTAACGGAGAAAATAATCAGCAGTTTAATCCGTAATTAAAATAATGTTGCACTTGGATACACAATAGTTCAGCAGAGCTCCACTTCAACAAACTAGAACAAGTCCTGCTTTTTCATTAAAGCATGAGTGACAGGCTGTTAATGTGATGTTATAATATATGTTAGTATAGGATGTATATGCACATTTGCATGATAATATTTGATTTTACCTAACATTTTCAATGCAGGACTTTAACTTGTAACAGAGTAGGCTACATCAGCGTACAGTATATTACATACAGCTCTCATTCACTGCAGACAGTCTGTGATAGTTCTGCTTTACAATATGAACTGATTTAATTAGGGAAGTATTAATTAAGTGACACAGAAGCCTTTGGAAAGTGGGATGTGCAGATTCTTACAATGACATCTGTACAGAGGTGAAGCAGTGGCAGGCTAAATATCTGACAGATCAGCAATGATTATGAATTTAGGTAGTTTCATATCAAGCCTGGTTCAGCTCACATACAGCAGCAAACTGATATGATGACTGTTTTATATGAAAAATGTAGCCCATATGCATTTTCATGCACAGTATTTAAGCAGTAGTATGGAGATCAGCATAGATCAGCATTTGATCACTCTCCTTGTCGCATAGAATAACCAGGCGAGGCGCAGTTCATCTCAAATGAGCCTAATCTCATACCGTTGCAACCCTAGTGGCAAAACGGTAATGACTGGGTCTGTCACGTGAAACAGTAGACTCTACTGTTTCAGTCTATATTCCCTCTGTTAGTCTGCTTGTACTTATGTATGTGTTATATCTTGTGTAGAGGCTTCACGGCCACTGCCAGACGTTGTGGACATGGATCTGCAGGACCAGACCCTACCTGATGGGATCCTGTTAGAACACCTCAAGGCTTTTCAGACTCTCTACAGAGAACACTGTGAGGTACGTAGCTGTGGACCCTTAACAATAATCAGAATAGTGTAAATTGCCATGTATGTGTGCTTGTTTTTATTGCACTGTACAGTTTTAGGACAGTTTGTGACTTCATAAGTCAGTTTGTTCTCCACACATTGTGCACTTGGTCGTACACCTTTCTGTAGTACTGAAAGGTGTATGTTTGAATAACATTCAGCTGTCTTATATAAAGGTGAAGTGGATTTATTGTCTAGCGTACAGTGATTTAAGCTCTAACAACAGGCCAAGCAGAAAAAGGCCACAATTGTGAAGATGTACACCCCTCACAGTTGTTAATGCGCTGCCCACAGGCTATTCTGGACGTGATGATCAATCTTCAGTTCACTCTTGTGGAGACACTGTGGAAATCCTTCTGGAGGTTCAGCCAGAGTAATGAGACGGAATCACTGAACCTGTAAGTGTTACAAGCCCATGTGAAACAATCTGATAAAAGAAGTAATAGCTATATATTTCATCAACTGCTACAACAACCTCTACCAGGCACAATGAGTCCGAGAAGCGTCTGCCCAAATCATGCCTGGTGGTGCTGTGTAAGTTTGAGCCAGTGCTGCGCTGGACGAGAGAGTGCGACAACGTGCTCTACCAGACCTTGGTGGAGATTCTCATCCCTGATGTACTGAGACCCATCCCTAGTAAGTTAGTAAGAGTTCAGAAGACAGACGTCTGTGACCCGAAACTGAATGACCTTCATTTCAGTTGTATTCATGCATTTGATTGTATACTGTGTGTAAAGGTTATACTGTGAATTTATAGAGTTTGTCAAAAGGGAACAGTGATAAAACATTTTCATATACAGTAGCAGTGAAGTTAATGAAGAATCAAAATCATCAAAAGTAAAAAGAGGGTAAATGTGAAAAAGGAAGATTGTTGGAGAACATTGCTTTTTAAATGTCTTTAAATTATGTTTGTCTCCTCTCCACATCACCACCATCAATGCCTCAGGTGCCTTAACTCAGGCCATCCGTAACTTTGCCAAGAGTCTGGAAAACTGGTTGACAGGCGCCATGATGAACATCCCAGAGGAGATGGTTCGCATAAAGGTATTTGTGTGCTTACAGATGGACTGGATATCAAGACTGACCTCTGCATCTATTTTGGTCTTTGTTTCAGAACTGTACATAACCAGATGGCAGCAATTTCTCTGATGATATCTAGACTCAGACAACCCATGTTTGGAATGAGAATTTATCCTAAATGTGTCCTGAGTGACTAGTTTTGATTCAGGTTCACCTCCCACTCATACAGTATCTGTTGGAAACTGTGACTAAACAGAAAAAACATCCATTCGTGTTTTTGCCACACAGCTATAGGTGGCAGTTGCAGTAGATGCAGTCAGGATATATATTTAAAAAAAAAAAAGACAAGGACAAAGTTTGAAAGGTTCATCATGCTTGTAAACACATGTCCCAGACTACCTCCAAATGTGACCTAGGTGATGGGATCTTACTGTATCATCAGTCTTGGTCTGTATTGAGCTGCCCCAGTGTGTGAGGATGGCACCCTCTTTGTTTTTAAAACTAATCTTAAAACCCATTTTTGATCTATGGCATTTACTTAACTTCCAGTAAGGTGTAGTGGACCTAAAAGCTGTCAGTGTGATATATTATTAAATTTATGGTCTGTTATGTATTTTGATGTATTGTCTATCTCAGTGATTTTTTTACAATTAAGTTTTGTTTAGACTTGTTTTAATTACTGCATATTGATTTTACCTTTTATTTTATTGTCATGTGATAGTTTTGATTATGTTGTTTAGCAACATAATAATAATAACTGTTATTATTAGGGTTGGGAGTGAGTTGAGAGTTTAGGAGTTTAAGTATCTCGGGGTCTTGCTCACGAGTGAAGTTTAAATCAAGTGTGAGGTTGACAGGCAGACAGGGGCAGCATCAGCAGTAATGGACATTGTACCAGGCCGCTGTGGTGCAATGGAAAGGTCTCAATTTACCACTCAGTCTACCCTCCAAACCTCACCTATGGTCATGAGCTGTGGGTGGTGACCGATACAATAAGATTGCAAGTACAAGCAGCCGGAATGAGTTTCCTTCACATAGTGGCTGGACTTAGCCTTAGAGATAGCATGCAGAGTTCAGACATATGGGAGGGGCTCGGAGTAGAACCGCTGCTCCTTCACATTGAAAGGAGCCAGTTGGGGTGGCTCAAACATCTTATCAGGATGACTCCAGGGTGCCTCCCTTTGGAGCGTCAAGCTGGTAGGAGACCCTGGTGTAGACCTAGAACACGCTGGAGAGATTATACATCTCACCTGGCCTGGGAACACCTCAGACTCCCATCAGAGGAGCTGGAACACGTTGCCAGGGAGAGGGACGTCTGGACTGCTTCACTGAACCTGTTGCCACCATGACCTGATCTCGGATAAGTGGAAGAAGATGGATGGATTATTATTATTTTACACATTTGAACCAGTGTTCTTGATGCTGTTTAGTGCCAAGGCTTTATTGTGCCCCCTTCCTGACATTTTATTACTTTCTTCTTGTCCGTTCCTTCAGGTGGTGTGTGTAGGCTCCTTCTCCCAAACACTGCGTCGCTACACCAGCCTGAACCACCTGGCCCAGGCAGCACGTGCTGTCCTCCAGAACTCAGCCCAGATCAACCAGATGCTCTCCGACCTCAACCGGGTTGATTTCACTAATGTACAGGTTTGTACAACTGTCTGTCTCCCATCTGTTAATTTCCAGTGTTGAATGAAAGTGAAATTGATTCGAAGCCTGATACTGTTGCCCTCAGGAACAGGCGTCCTGGGTGTGTCAGTGTGAAGACCGTGTAGTCCAGAGGCTGGAGCAAGACTTTAAAATGACTCTGCAGCAGCAAAACTCCCTGGAGCAGTGGGCTACCTGGCTGGATGGTGTCGTCTCCCAGGTCCTAAAGCCCTATGAGCAAAACCCTGTGGCCTTACCAAAGGCTGCAAAGGTCTTCCTGCTCAACTGGTCCTTTTATAGGTAGGGGAAAAGGGACAAAGTTACATGTAAGAATGGAGCTCCAAGTGAACGATGCAGCTTTCTGTTGAAGATAAATCTTCTACATGCTCTCTGCTTTCTCACCAGTTCTATGGTAATCCGGGACCTGACTCTGCGCAGCGCTGCCAGTTTTGGCTCCTTTCACTTGATCCGCTTGCTGTATGATGAGTATATGTACTACCTGATAGAGCACAGGGTGGCCCAGGCTAAAGGAGAGACACCCATTGCGGTCATGGGAGAAGTATGTGTCTGCATGCACACTCACTCACATAGTGCACTTGTCATTTGGTGATGAGTGTTTATAAATGTGTTACTCTGTTTTGCAGTTTGCCAGCGCCATCAAGAGCCGAATCTCTCCAGACCCGGAGAAAGGTAAACTCAGTGTGACTGTCCTCACAGTTATGTTGAGTTTCGAGTAGCGATGTTATGTGTGACACCTAAGTGTCAAAGCTTGTGTCCAGCAGAGGGGTCATTTCCAAATGAAGCCTCGCTTCAGAGCTTGTCATTTTCCTAATTGTCATGTGACCAATGAAAAACAAGGCCTTGTTTTATCGGAATCACATGAGTAATTAATTGAGTAAAGGCTTGTTCACCAGGATCACGCTTTCTACTCCTGTCAGCACACTGCATGCCTCTAGTAGCATGACACTTGTCAGACAGTGTCTTTTCTGAAATGCAGATAAAGAGGACTTTCTCTATTTGTGAACATTTTGGACTGACTCTTAAGTAAGCATTTTTACTGTTCACAAATATGTCTGTATAGCTTAATTATTACTTCAGTGACAACTAACATTTGTGGCCGCTCCATGTCCATAATAATTGCGCAGTGCATCATGGTCCTTGTGATGCTTCAGGGTTTGTGCTACACAATCTGTCCACTAGATGTCAGTAGTAATCGTGAGCTCTTAAAGGCTTCATGAGATGAACCTTTTGGTGAAACTATTGGCTGGGAAGCCTCAGCACCCAAGTGAGGCTAAATCTCGCCATCATTTTTTTTAGGTTTTGCTCCAGGTTCTCTTATATGATCACTCATTGTCATGTTACTGCCTTTGCCCATTAGAAGAAGAGGAGGATGATGAAGAAGAGGAGAGTGATGAGGAGAGCGGGGATCTTGTGCTGCAGTCCAGCTCTCTGAGTGCAGTCGATGAGAAGGAGTCGATAGAACCGCCCGCCAAGCAGCCCAGGACAAGTTTAAATCTGCACACACTTACCGCGAGCCACAGCACGCCACCTTAGCTAACCATCTGTGGACTCAATAGACAACACTTCATACACAGTATTGCTATGAGTTTAACATCATGTCATCCCATTCGGTCACCCTGTGTACGCTTCTGGTTTGCCAGTAGATGATGTTTGAAGGCAAGTGTGTGGCTGTCTGGTGTGTGTGCAGGCTTCTGGGAGAACATGTTTGTATTCTGTGCTTTTGTGCTGCCATTCTTTGCCAGTTTGCTTTCATGGGTCATTTACAGTCCTTCCCTCATTCCCTGTGCCTTCCCTGTTAATCTGGTGGCTGACTAGCAGTAGCCACTCCTGTCCAGCTAAAAGTCTACTCTATACAGTATGTAATATATTCTTGATTCCCTCCTGCCCAGCCTTAACCACTGACCTGATTGCTGTGGAGAGATGAGAAGACTACAGTGTTCATTTTCCTCTAAACTCTAAAATATCTCTTACATTGCCTTTAAAGGAATGACTATGCAGGAGAGCTGGACTTTAAAACGGCACTGTCAGAAATGGACTTTTCATCTAAGAGTAGCACCTGGAATCATTGCAGTGTGAATTTTGTTGAATTTGACAGCTACTTGTGGATGCCATATTTAATTTCTTATTAATTTGGCCAATTAACTGAAACAATGTGCCTTTGAGAGATTTATAGCCTGAAAAAGCTTGTATTCTACATGTTCTGTATTGGTGCATTAATAAATGAAGGTCCTGTGACGTAGTGTTGGTGTTGTCATGAAATTTTGCTAGCTGTAAAAGGGAAAAAAAAATCTAATAGTGCCAGTCGAGCCTCGTGATGAGCCCACCCAGTCTGCTCGTCATCTTTTCACCCATTTATCATCCATTCATTCTTTCAAGCATACACACAGACACACAATCCCACTACAGCAGCATATCTATGGCAACCCTGTCCCAGCTATAGCAATCTCAAAAGTTTTTGTAGTGTAAAAGTAGATGTTTATTTTCTGGGTATCTATGTTGAATATATTATAGAGATCCTATATTGTGTACCTTTTGTGAACACTGTCGTATATCCAAACAATTTGTATGTAACCATTACTGCCTTAAGAAATATGTTGTGCTATGTTCACCATCCAGAGTACCGAGCAATATTTTTATTGTGATGTAACAATGGACCAAGCATGTGAATATGGCGAGTTTCTATATGGAATACATGCTCAGCCAGCAGCTCATCTAGATGAAGTGTTGGACTTTGGTACCAAAAAGAAAATATTGCAAAGATTATAGTAGTAGTGGGATGTCCTTCAGGATGATCTGACTACCAAGATCCCACCAAAGAGCACTATATAGAAAAAGGGTATATTACATGTATCCATATGTTGAGGGCAGAAACCAAATTGACATGAAAAACATATTCAACTTCTAACTGCAATGTCACAATGATAAAAATTGCAACTCTGATTCAGTCCCTAGATTGTGCTGCTGAAATTTTTATAAAAGAGGTCCTTGATTTTATTTGAAGACCTTTGTACTTAAATTTGTGATCAGTGTTTGTAGAGTTATTCTCACTGTTGACTAAAAGAATGTGATCTCAAAATTTGTGCAGTATTTATTTTTTCTTCACTCTTTTGGCTCAAGACCACTTAAAGCTACAGTATGTGCCTTTTTTAATATTTCTGCCCCAAAACCTTTCTTAATGTTGAGAGGTGCTGTCAAGGCCCCCCGTGACCCAGACTCATTGAACAGCTTTGGCAGCAGTGTAGAGATATTAGCTACCAAAAGGTTTTGAGCAGGACTGACCTCTCTAACCACTCAGAGATTTTCAGAGATTAGCACCACTGGCTTTGGTATGGCAGGATCGGGGTTCACTTCCCTCTCAGGGTGTGAATTCCAGCTGTGGGTCCTTAGGGCAAGGCCCTTAATGCTAACTGCCTAGTGAGGTATGACACCAATGCTACTGCAAGGGGGAACCAGGACAGTGGGGAGAGATCTCACCCTCTCCCACAAATGGAGATCACAAAATTTTCTGACAGTCTGTTCTAGGCTGTATAGAACTGATAGATTAAGATGGGGACAGGCCGTGGCTTAGTGGGGTGCCTCCTGAAACGAGCACGGAAAAAGGCATCAATGAAGACAGTGGTAAAGTGAGGCCTGTAAGGTGAGGTGAAAGTCCACGTATGCTTTTTACACTATGTGCAATATGTCTATATATTATATATACTGTACCTATATGTCCCCCTAATATTGCTGCAGATAAGATCTGAAACACTGACAGTGCTATTCATATATCTTTCTCCCAGAGCCTCCAGTCCTACTGGGAGTGCTGGTGTTAGGGCCCTTCATGTACGCCAGAGGCCCTCAGCTGCAGCACTGGATGGACATGGTCAACACTCCACAGGAGCTGGTGAAGCTGTAGCACGGATTGGGCAGAGCTATTTAAGCAACCAAACATGAACAGATCCACAGACACACATGTGCATGTACATACACACAGAGTTTGAATTAATAGAATAAAAGTGCTAATAAATGTGTTCATCGTTTGCTCATCGTTTGTAAAACGCCTTGAGGCGATTTCCATCTGCTAATAAAAGCCTGTCTAGATGAAAGGTGTGTTTGTAATTGCATGTGATTTTTACTTTGTCAGTGTGTGCACGGGAGATATTTCGACGCTGGAGCCTGAGAGAGTTCGGCTGCTGTCTCCCACCGCCCCCTAGTGCGCATGTGCAGTGGACCCCAGAACGCAGAAGCAACCCCGGAAAAAAAAACAAATTTGCCGTGTGCACCAGGCGAGCAACATTCAGTGGGGAAAATAAATATAATAAATGAATATATTAACGTTAAGAGAAAACATTCTCACAATACAGACATTTTACTCCTACCCTTTCCCCTTATTAATACATCCGTGGGAAGAATGGTCTCCATCTTGTGATTCGGTATCCAGCTGTTATAATATATTAATGGGACGTACAAGGGTTGAATTTAGTTTATTGTTCTAATCAGTCCTATT